AAACAAAATTGCTGACCTTTTTTGGGAATTAAATTCATACTGAGGAAGCGCCACAGAGCATGGGCAAACACAAGTGAAGTTCACTGCCTTGACCGCGGGCATCTTCGAAAGATGGCAAGATTGGCTTGCAGTGTGAAAACCACAAAGAAGACTATAAAAGATGGGAAAGTCAAGTTTTCTGGAAACCGCTACCTGAAGGGTACTCAGTGGGATGCTTATTCGTGAAGCATATTGACACGCGGCCGTGCATGTTTTGGCATGGTGACTTGATCCGACTGAGGTCCTACCCAATCGCCTTTGGTTTGCGGGCCCGGCGTTTCCTTCCGCGGCTCATAGCACACAATTCTGGCCCACCCAGGTTGCCAGATGTTGCATCTGATGTGCCAGGGCTATTGCAGAGGATGGTCGACAATACAGATTGGTGCGAAGCTGATCTGACAAGGGCCTGCGCCTATGTTAGAGGGTCAAAGCACCTGCAAGTTCCACGAAGGTGGAAGAAAACATTTCCGCAGTACTATGTAGGTTGATCCTTTAAAACGCATGTAAATCTGTTACGAAAGCACAACCCCAAAATACATGCGGAGATATTCAAATTTTATCCGGAGAAAGTCCAAAAAGTATGCGGGGAAATTCGTTTTACGGACGGAGAAATTCGAGAAGCGGACTAGGTACGAGAAAGTGCGGAGAAGGGACGAGAAAAGGCGGAGGTGGTACGAGAAAAAAGTACGAGAAACCCCGGATTAAATGCACGTATCATCTCGTACCACCGTATTTCCAAGTGTAGTTTTGGAGCACCAAAATGCCCACAAACGCTCCAAACGAGAGGTTATTGGCTTGCAAGGGCTGGTTTAATGACATTTTGTGTTATATCATGGCATTCTTGCCAGAGTTTTGGCTTCCGGCTAGCGATGGTTTCAAAGTTTCCGTCAAAGCAGTGGAGTTGCAGTGACCTTCTGCACGGTGCAGCTACCGTCGTGGACATGGCCTCGCTTCCTGCTGATGCTGCGCTGAAAGAGCAGATGAACAAGTTTTCTGCGGAGACCGAGCACCTCACGATGGAGCAACTGGAAGCTTTACTTAAGGACTGCGGTTGGATTTTGTATATATTTTTATTTTTGTGCCCGACCTTCAAGATCATCCACACATTGCAGGAAAATGACGCCCAGATCGGGCAGCACCCCTTGGGGGGACATGTTGCTGAGGTGGCGAGGTCCTGAGTTGAAGCTGCGCACATGTTTTCCTAGGTTCAAGCCATGGGCGGGAAATTCCAGACTCCAACCATGGGTGGGCCCCAATGGTGAAAGGTAAAAATGGAAGCTTCGGATGGGGACATGAAGAAGCTTGCACCTGCAGCTACACCTGCAGCACCTGTGGCTACACCTGCGCGAGCGGCAGAGGCTACAATGCTTTCAGTGGTTTGCGCAGATGTTCGGCCTACTCCAGAAGCGCCTGCAACTGGTGTTGCGCCGACTCCATTGGTCACCATGCCTGCTGAACCAGTGTTGATGAAGCACGAGGTGGTGGAACCTGCACTTCTGCCCCAAAAGCTTTTTATCGAGGAGACCTGTTCAAATTCATGTGTTTTTTTTGGTGTGTGTGTGTTTTTAATCTTTAACAGCATGCATGGCATGCATGGCTTCCAATATCGCATCAGGATGAGATCCTGGCAGTCGACTCCTCATCTGAGGAGGCGGGAGACTTCGAAGAGTCCGTGGAGGAACTACTGCGGGCGGATACATTGAGGTATGGATTTGAAGAGTCTCTCTTGGAGCCAACACAGGTTGTGGAGACCCAGGTTATTGGGACGGTTATTGTGGAGACCCAGGAATCTCCTGACAACCAGTTGGGCCTAGAAAGTCCTTCACCGAAGGTGCCGACACCGATTGTCACGCCAAAGATGACCGCTGTCAAGGCTGCACCAAAGCCTCCTCCGCCTGAGGTACCTGCAGCACCTACACCAGAAGCCACGCAGCTGGCAGACATGCAACAGAAGTATGAGTCCCTGTTGAAGTCAATGGCTGCGCTTCAGTTGCAGATGGCCAGTGCCAGTGCGACTCCAAATACGTCTGGGTCATGTCCTGCGACCCCTGCGCTGCAAAAGCTCGTGTTCACGTCTCCTGTGTCCAAAGCAGCTGAGTCTGGGAAGCCTGACTGGAAGCCTGCTGCGCCTGGTCAGCCTGTTGTGCCTGGGTTCGTTGAGCCTTTGCAGGCTCAATCGCTCCTCATGGCCCAGCTCTTGCGGCAACTTCCGGTAAAGCTTCCAGTCCTCAAGTTTCTCTGGGCACCGCTGTGCCTTCTGCTGAAAAGGAACTGATGGAGGAGATGGACCTAAGCCATGAGGAGCGTGGTTGTGTGTGTGTGCTTCACTGTTTGTTTCTTTTTTTTTAAGCGGGGGTGCAGTTGTATTGTTTATAAATTTGTGCTGTTGTTTTCTCCTGTGCCGCCACAGCAGGAATTGTCTGATCATGCATTGTACATGCGGCGCATGCGGCTGAAACGACTTTGCAGCAAGACCAGTGCTGGCAAGCTGAATGTGCCGCAAGATATTGCAGACCAGTGGATGTCAGGCAACCGAGATGAGCTTTCATTAGCTTTGGTGCGGGCCTTGAAGATCCATGGGTTTGACAACAGTCACAAGACGCGGAAAGTGGTTCGGGACTGGCGTGGCCAAAATTGCACTTTAAGTTCAGTGGTCAATTGATTGAACAATATATTCTAAGACGTGGCGCGCGAGTATATCATTTTAACATTGCAGGGTGAATTTACGGAGCAAGTCATCAAGATTCATGAGATTCACCGGGCCAGAGAAGAATAAGTCTGTGGTGGCTGGTATACTGAAGAGCGCCTTGAGACCGAGTTGAAGTACAGCGAGCAACTTGATTAAACATTAACCATATTTTTGCCATAAAAATTTTATGTTGCAGATCGGCCTGCGTCACCTTAAGAAGATCAGGGCGCTGATTGCAAAGATCAAACCGTTCTGCTTGCGCTTCAAATCAGTGATTACCAGGACTTCTGGTTACAACATTGTTTCTTAAATTGTAGTGTTTCCTAAAATGTAGTTTTTAGGGTGATACCACATTTGATACAGATACAGGTTCACACAACCCGCGCAGGACATGGCGCTATGACAGTTCGGTCCGGGAATACTTTGTTATGACTGCAGACACCGTGAAGCTTAAAAAAAGGATTTGAAGAGAGTCATGAGTGTCAAGGAAATGGAAGAGGCGGGAAACTTAACGCTCATGCGCAATGCGCACCTCACACTAAACATTGGCCCGCAAGGGCACCAAACTGGAGAAGATGGATCACATGGAAATGCTGGAAGACATGCCTCGTGATGCTGAGCCTGGCAAAGTGGGTCCCTTACCTGTGGACTCTGTGGAAGATGCCAAGGAGAAACTGAAACAGTTCACGGATTCCGTCCACCAGAAGGCAAGCCAAATTGTCTCATGGATGACAGCTGTAGAGCCTATGCAAACGGAGCGCAAAGACGTTCCCCATCTGCAACATCATGTTGTTTTCGTTTGTTTGTTCTGGATCCCTCAGGACTTTTTTGGCCTTTAAGGTTCGTCTCAGAGATGAAGAGCTTGCTGAGCGAGATTGAAAGATCTTTCCTGAAGTTGGCGGAGGCTTCCCACTTGCTGGAGAGCCAACCCTCTGAGAAGGAGACGCGCCATGAATGCACATAATAGATCGATATTTGTATCTCGATACGATACACAGTATTCAATACTGGCACCTAGGTGGCAAAAGAAAATCCTGGATGCCAAAGAATCTGCTCGTTCCCCGTGCCTGGGCGTGCAACATGAATACTTTAAATTTTTTCTAATATTGACATTTGATGAAATTTGTGGGCTGTTCCAGTACTTGCTTCAGGTGTGTGCGTGTGCTGGCAGCTGAGCACCGCTACAAGCTACTTTCAGCTGAGAAGAAAACACTGCAAAACAAGCGTGAGAGGGATGCAGCTACTGGGGAAGGTGAGGAGTCTGCTGGGAAGAAGCCCAGGGGGAAAGCGAAGGCAAAAGCAAAATCTGCGGCCAAGAAAGACTGAGTGCGGACCCCTTCGCATGCTTCTCACTGAGCTGGTGTTGGGCGAAAGATATTGGCAGCTGCTGGTATTGCAACAACTAAACGTGTTGTATGTTTCATCAACCATGATGAACCTGTGCTTTTTCCACTGCAGCTGCCACCAGGGTTTGAACCTTTGTGGGTTCACGCTGGGCCCATCAAGGGTCCAGGTTAGGGGATCTAGGCATCTTCCTGCCGAGATCGGCGGGCGCATGCAGCAACACTGTGAAGAATGCTTGAGCTGCCTGCTCTACTTTTTACACTTGGGCCCATTGTTTGGTGCAAATTGGCCAGGGAAGGCCTCCTCGAGCAAGCCTGTGCGAGCTAGCAGCACAGCGTGCAGCCTTGCACGCAGTCTTGGCCGAGGAGTTGCTTGGTTGCATTTGGGGCTATAGCGGTTCTGGATTGTCCTACGCCGCAGACATTTTGCAGGCATAGTATTCCCGCAGGCTGTTTGATTGCTTTGCCAACTGTTCGGTGCATGAACTTCACTGCAGCAATTAGTTTAATGCCGCCATGTAGCCGCAGCTTTTTGGATTGCTTTTGTCCAGAGGTTCTACTGCAGCATGTTTGTGCATTGCCCTTTTGCAGCCTTTTCATCCGCAGCCATATTGCGCAGAGTGCAGCCCTTTTGTAGCCTTTTCATCCGCAGCCATATTGCGCAGAGTGCACTTTCCGGTCACTTGCATTCTGACGTTGTCGTTTTGAACGCAATCATTCAATCTGTGCTTCTGAGGCTCCTGCAATACAGCTGGTGGAGCATGCCCAAGCAAGTTTGGAAGATGATGCAAAGTGTGGATTTGAGCGAAATGACCCTGTCTTGCGGCGGCTGGCAAAGGGAGACTTGCATGCTGTGCCTTCGCCTTCAACCATTTGCCGCTTTTTCACCCCGCTGCAAACGGAGCTTCTGTTTTTGTTTTTTGCTAACCATGGTGGTTGAGGCGAGGCAAACTTTTCAAGCCTTTGATGATGCTGGTTTGAGGGCGCCAGTTCGGCTTGCTTGTGGCAAAATAGGGAATGATGAGAGCAACTTGGCTCAACATGTGCATGTCGGACATGTTGTGCTTGAAATAATTGTAGTTGACATGCGTGCATACTGGAGGCTACCCATGGTTGCGGCCCACGGATATGATCAAAATGCTATGGAAGAAGAAAAGGCTTGATCTACTGCTGCCAGAGAATAACCTCGACAAATCAACGCAGGCCCTTGCCACATACTGGAAGCTCTTCCGTGCGCAGTACCCCGACCACGAAATATTTGACAAGCTCACTGAGGAACAACTCCGACTTACCGTACCTGTAAAGGTGCATGGTGATGAGGGAAGAAGTGTCTCGTGTTAAATGTTCAATATTTTTGCGCTGGTTTGTGTAATAATGGCACATCAGGGTGATCCGGCCTGTTTGTTTTGAGGAAATGTCCTTGGGATTTTGGACATGTTTGGATTAGAACCTGAAGCCTGACACTGCTGATCCGCAGATGGTCGACCAGAGTGTCGTGATGGCTGTTGTACCCATGGGTTTGGACATGCTTGGATTAGAACCTGAAGCCTGACACTGCTGATCCGCAGATGGTCGACCAGAGTGTCGTGATGTCTGTTGTACCATGTTGCATGTTGATTCCTGACCCTTTCAAGGCAAGAAAAACTTGCAATTATGCTGCTCTCCTGGCAAGCGGTTTTGGGCAAAGGAACCAGCAAGTCACTGCAGCAACCTGAAGAGAAGCAGCTCGCGGCACAGCGTTTGAATTTGAGACCTGCCGGCATGCTAACAAGTGTTTTCCATGCCTTACCCTTTGTGCGTGGCTGAAACTCAGGATGGGGCATGCAGCGCCTTGTTCAGACTGGCAATTATCTACATATGATTTCTGACATTGAGGAAATGCTATGAATGATCTGTGATGTTATTATAGTTTTTGATGAGGAGACTAGCCGGTGGTTGGCCTTTGTCGCTTTGAAAGAGACCTACGCGAACAACCCGGAGGCGTTGGATGAAGCAATGGACCTGCTTGCTGATGATTTTCTTGATGCTATGTCTCAGGGTGTGTTGCTTCAGAGTCACGCAGTTTTGCGGCTGGCTGTGGTTGCGGTGAAGGGCGACTGGCCCTTTCTGATTGAGGCTGGGCACTCAGAAAGGCACTTTCGGCGAGCCCTGGAGTATGTCACTTGTGCCTCGGTGGCTCAGAAGGCTATTTGTTTGAAGATGTGTCCGCCTCACCACTGTGGGAAAAGACCATGGACTCAGCAGCTGCGGCGGCTCCATGGGAGTCACTGTCCCCCTGGACACTCAAATTTCCAGCCCGACCCAGCAGACGCCCATGGCTATATCGCCCTGACCTGTTTCATGGATGGCATCTGCGCCATGGGCGCTTTTTCGTCTCGAGTGCTTGTGTGGTGTTGCAAGCGTTTGAGGAAGGCACGGGCGTCGAAAGCAGGTTTGCTTCGATGACGACAAAGTGGCTAGACTTTTGCAAGCAAAAGCATGATGCTAGGCTGCGCTAACCACATGGTTTTGGGGCACTCACATGCACGTAAAGTGCGACCTCATGGTTGCTTCAGGAAAGGCCATACGTTACAAAATTTGGCCGTGATGTCTTTGGCTTCAAGACCTGGCTGGACTGGCCTGAAGGAAACTGGCAAAAAGGCAGCGCGACAACACGTTTGTTGGAGCCTTGGCAGAAGGTGTTTGTGCACACCATATGCTCTCGCAGCCATGGTTCTCGACATTTCTCGACTCATGTAGGAGTGGATGGAGTCGTACCTTACAGATGACCTGGTCGCTGAGTTGGCTGAGAAAGACCAGAGAGTACCCTTCATTTCTGTGGTTGTGCCCCCTGGATGTTTAAAATTTTGTTTTCTCCGCTCCGCTACCATTGTTTTGAAACAATTGTTAATGTTTTGTTGTGTTTGGCTGTGTTCAGTGAGGTAGTCAATTTCACGCCGCAACTTGATCGCAGGTAAGTTTTGATATGTCAAGAGGTCATAGGTTTCAAGTCCAGCCACTGCTTTTGAACCCTTACGCCAGCTTGATTGTGCTTTTGGGCAGACGACTTCAACCTTTCCTCACCTTCCGTCCTATACATGGCACAGCTGCAAGTCGGCAAAGAAAGTTGCTTGGCGTGTGTGAATAGAGGGCTTATTTGTGAGAAAATGGAAAAGGCCACCTGACTTGTCAAAAAAAATGATGATATATTCTGTTTCAAAGAAAAATATCCCTTACGCACTCTTGCTTCTGATTCCAAGATGCGCCTTTGAGTGTTGATCTGTTGTAGACCTTTTGCTATGTTTGAGCTTGGTGCGATTAAGGGTTTGTTTTCTGCCCGTTGTACTTGCGCGCTTGAAAACTTACACAGGCGCATCACTTGAAGTGTATGCAAGCTGTTCATTTGTGTTTAACGCCTTTTTCCACAGCGCCAGCACACTTGGAGTAATTTTTGTACATATCCACACATAAGCACAGATATTAGTGGTATTTGTGCACAATCACAACATATGTGATGACAATCAACAGAATCTGGCCATTGGCGAAGTGAAGGCGATGTATAGCTGTCTTTTGACAGGTTTTGTTAAGGTGCCCTAGATTCAGCGCTCCATAACACCATAATGATGGAAAAAATCATAAAAAATAGGTCTCCACCGCGCGCCACCGCACGCCACCGCACGCCCCCACCGCACGCCACCGCACGCCACCGCGTGCCACCGCGCGCCACCGCGCGCCATTGCGCATTGCCACTGGTGGTTGGCCCATACGCAGCAATTACACAGCCAAACCTAGCATAAAACCAAGAATGCGCATGAAACAAGCGAACTTACACCGCAAGATGCTTGCTTTTAGCGCTTGGAGCTTGTAATGGGCTGTATGGTCACTTTCGATGTGTTTTTGGTGGCTTGGCCAGGCTTCATAGCAGCTACTTGTAAGTTTGGTTTGTTTGTGGTGTTTCGTCTCTTCGTGGGGCGTTCCTGTCTATATTCAGCAGAAACTGAAGATTGCAACGGGAATTGAAGTGTCCTTGTTCAGTTTTGCTTTTCCAGTTGCAAACCATGTCTTGCGCATTGTCAATGGCACAGTTGGTTGTTTTGCCCTAGTTTTGGTTTTGGGGTTTTCAGTCGAAGACCCAGCCCGCGTGCCGGTGTAAGTTTTCATTTGTTCCAGCGCAGCCCGGTTTCTCACGATTTCACCAAGCAACCATTGAACATATCAACAGCACTCACTTTGGCCAACTGTTTTTTTTGTATTGTCTCTTAATGTTCCAAGCAGAAAAGCGCTGGTCACCTCCAGTTTTCTGGCGCAAAGGCAACCCAGACGCCCAGAATGGCCAAAACATTCACAGCTGCACGTACAGGAATGTGCGTCCACACTCCCTTCCGGCTGAATCCCATAGCTTCGTTGGCGTGGCTAGGGAATCAGCTTCTGGCTTGAGAGTGCTACAAGATAGTAAAAATACCATGAAACATTGGCTGGGAGACTTTGCAGTTGACCACACAGACCACCCAGCGCCTTTAAAGAAAAAACAAAGTGTGCTTGTTTTCGATCCGCGCCTGGTCGTGCCACGAAATTTACTACAGTGAGGCGAAACATCAATGCGGCCCTGCGGTTGCTGTTTCGGTCAGGTGCATGGCTAGAGCAATTGGATGCAGCTACTGTGGCACGGCATGGGCTGCTAGCGCTGAGGGCCTACAAACGCTGTGCTGTGCTGTCTGTGGAAATGAAAGAGCCGCGGCTTCCGTTTTTTAGAAATTTGGAGCCGCAACCTTGAGTGGATAGAAAACCCACTGACAGACTCCTGCCAAATTGATGAATCCTTTGTTGGAATAATGGCAAGGTACAGTCGACGGGTGAGTCCAAAGATGACAGTTCACCGCACATATGACCTATACTTGACCTCACTCGTGCATCGCTTGCAAGAACGTGAGTAAAAGTGTCGCGGCAGGGGATAACAAGCGGAGGTGCGAGAAAGAACCGGAGGTACGAGAAAGAAGCGGAGAACCCGGAGAAGTACAAGAAAACTTAAAAAACAAATCTTTTTTTGAGTGATATTAAAATTCTTATCCCAGTGGCTTCGCTGGAGTTTCAATACATACTAGTAGCTTCGTGCTCCTAGTAGCGATGCCAGGAGCCCCTAGTAGCGTCCTATCCTCCTTCCACACGAGACTTTGAACGACGAACGTGTTTCGTTCAGGTCCCGACAGACACCGCTCCTCAGACGCTCTCAGAGCCTACCCGGGAACAGGCTGCGGGGCGCGTTTCGGAAGAGTCATCCAAGTCGTTTGGTTTGGTGAAGATCTGAAGACTTGTCGGTTTGTTTTTTTGACCTGCTTACCAATGGGTACCCATATGGGGGCACCCGTACGGGTACCTGTTGGTGCCAGGTTCCAAAACCGGTTGCTTTTCCATATTGCCCAGGATGTGTTGTTTGTGTTTTGGGCGGCTTTTCACTCGGCTCCAGGAGTCCCATCGTACAGTTGGTAGCCTTTTTTTCTAGCTTGATCATCTCACAAATTGAAGAGCAAGCATCCCAGTAATGAACAGGACATGGTGTTCCATGGTGCCAGTTGGGGAACCAGCATTCCCGTAAAGTCTAAAGTGGAGACTCCAGTCTTCGTGAGCAGCTTGCGAGGTGCCGACGAAAACGGTCCAAGAGGCTGTGTGCCAGGGGAAGTTGCAGCCTGCGCCAGGGCATCACGTTGCGTTTTGGTGGGTACGGCTAGGAGTGTCCATTTTTTCATCGAATCCGATTAGTTTAATGCACGGTTGGGCTATGCAATAAGTCGAATAGGAACTTGCATGGCCCCAAAATTGCCCATTTCCACCGACCAGTACTGGTCCTGTGGGCACGGGAGCAAACCTAGCAGAGCACCTTGAGGCCAATGAATTTATTGAGTTTATAAATGGTATTGAATAGTCAAAACAGGACTATAGATTGGAAAGGTGGCAGTGAAGAAGGTGAGCCACCGATGTTGTTCTGGGTCTACAGATCTTGACACGTGATATCAAACAACTGGATTGCTTTGAGGGATCCTACATTTGATACCAATTGGAAAAACACTCTATTCCATACAATACCAACCTAATTACTAGCCAACTGGCCAACACGAAGGGACTTGGAAATCAGTACCAGAGGCTGAAGGGTGTATGGCTCGCTCGGCCGTGGAGCAAGAGATGCATTCAGAACCACTAAGGCTGTCATGAGGGGGACACGTGGAAGCACGTGTGTGACCATTTTTGTTCATGGAAGAATCCAGCACCATCTTGTTCGAAAGGTAGTAGCTAATTAATGTGTTTTTTCCGATTTGGCCTCTTCTTGAAACTGCACTGACTGGTGGATTTTGTCTTGGTTCCTGGGAGAGCACAGATTGAGGTAGCTCGGTACTTGACACAAAAAAGGATCAGCACAACTACGACCGACACCGACCAGGTGCCAGTGGAGCAGGGGACCGAGACTATCGGTCAACGAGATTCGCAGGATCAGGATCAAGGGCAGGTCTCCATGATTCTCCATGTACGGCATATCATCTGGGTGGTGGTTTCAGATATTATTGTTGTCGACCTTTACCTGGGATGATTCAACCCACCGACTAATATGTTTCAAGTAAGTTGAAACCACCAACCAGTCATGATATGGAGTTTGTTGTTTGTGGTTTTATTTCCATCAGGGCCAGCGAGTTAATGAATGCTTCACATGTGAATGACTTGCCTGACATGGGGCACGCTTGAATCGGTTGAGGGTGGATTTGGCTACAACAAACCATCATCATTATCCCCAACCTATAGTTTCCCTTAAGTCCCAATAGCATGTTTGGGCCATCCTGCCCTTTCAGGGCGCTTGGTGCCATTGTTTTCTGTTCATTGTGGGACTTCCCCCACGTCTTCGCGTCAAGGGGGGCATTCCTCGGGTCAAGACCTGTACAGTCGGTGAACACAGTGAAGACAGGTGGCTACGGGATGCGAAAAAGAAATGGGTGTGGCATTCAGCCGGTGATTCAACAGCCAACTACTACTGCAGTAGTTTACTGCTGGCTGCCTAAAGAATTGATCCACATTGATCCTTTTGTTTTCGGGACACTTGATTGGCTGTTCAAGGGTGAACATGCATCTTCATCCTCCAATGACACTGGAGCAACAGACGCATTTATTCCAAACGGCAGCAACAGACGCAGCAGTGCCGCAGCTGGCGCTCCCTGGGTCCCCGAGTCCCCAAAGGAGTTTGTTCCACGGCGAAAGCCTGTTGACTCGTTGACTGTTCATTCATCCAAGATCTCCGTATTTGTGTGATTTTATTGTGATTTTACAATTTAACAGTCAAGTCGGAGACCTTGGCATTGCTGAGAGGGCAACTTGGCCAGGTCAGCCATGATGATGTCATCCGCTTTCTCGGCCATGCTGGGGCACTAAGAGCCATGAGCGTCAGATTGGGTGCGCTAAGATCACCAGAATGGAATCAGTGAGGACATGTGAAGACAATCTTTACTCTTTTTGAGCGGCAGTCTTGGAAGCCGGCGGGACATGGAGGGACGCTCGCTCAGCAGGTGTCTTTAGTTTGCAGATTTTCCCACTTGCTGGCAAATTATCCGAGAAAATCCAAGTCACTCGGAACCTGTCCGCAAGGGATCCGGCAAAGCAGAAGGACCTATACACATTTCGCATGTGGATTTGTATTTAGTGGTGGTACATGTTCAGGTGTCCTTGTTGAAGTCACCTCGGTCGTAACTCACTCTTCGTTCGAGCTTCCGCCACTCAGGGCAAGGAAAAGGGGGCACTTCACTTTTGTTGTGCGACGAAGAACAACGTGGTTTGGGACCGCATTCACATTGGAGGGACACATGCATGTTTGTGTTGGATGACATAAAAGCAGTGATCAGTGATCAGACACATGCTGATACACATGTATGGCACACCCCTCTATAGCGGAGCGCTGTCAGTATGATATGTTTGAACAACTTCGTCTGCACCGAAGCCTTACGAATTAGTCCGTGCGAGGAACAGCAGCGAGATGGACCATTCTCCCACGGACGGGTTTGGGCGGATTGTCGAGCGTGTTGGAGCGGAGGTTTGCTCGTCGCTTGTGTCTCTTGTTGATGCGCTGAACGAAGAGCCGACTTAGCTTTTTCAATGCCAGTTCGTGGAAATCCCCAATCTCAGATTGTGGGTCAGATGTTGCTTTTAAGACCAGATGGCCATGCAGAGGCTGTTTGGGTAAAACTACTTACCCCGAAGACTACAGAAGTGTCTACCGGACTGGAGGCCACTTGAAAATGCAAGTCTTCAAGTCTTCACAAGAGTCTCCAGTTCTTTGTGTTTTTCCTTGTTCCTTTCTATACAACTGCAGTTTTGTTCGACAGTGTCAAACAAATCAGTCGTCAGCCAGCTTTGAACAACCCACAACAACAGCAAGGCATGATTAATTGAAGTGACACTACACCATCTTCAGACGATAGTCCTGTATGCTGAATACCATATTTTGCACAGTACATCAAGCAAATCGCTACGTGTGGTGGATGGTATTGAGGAGCATCTTTCACGAACCATGTGTTTTTGTTGTAAAGCAGCAGTTATATATAACAGTGACAATCCTGGAGTAGTTGCGGTTTCTAATCCAACATAGTGACATAGTATTTATGAATAGTGTGCAACATGCATCCAGCAGTCCTCTTGTTGTTTTGGAAAAATGCCCACTAGCATGTCACTCAGTTGTGAGGATGGTCTATTCTGTATTAATTGCTTCTCAAATCCAATATTTGGTGGTTTTGTAGCTTTGATCCTTCTTCATGACCACCATGGTTGTGCTTATTGTTTGAAACATTGGATGGTCAATCATACCCCCCATGGTATCGATGGTTTGACTAAAACGGTGCCTCGCTTGGTTGGTTGGGTGACCAATGCTTCTGTGCATGTGACGCATTATGGCGCAAGTGGCTCTGACCTTCTCAGAGCTATTATTCACGGCACATGAGACATGAATAGAATGGCCTACGGGGCCTACGTGGTTTCGAGTGTTTAGTTTCTCTCCAAACATGGTGCCTGGGAGCAGCAGATGCGGTTGTAGAGGAGTCACACCAAAATGCCTATCTTTTTGTCCCACTACCAGGATGCTGGGAGGGTGTCCTTTCTCAACATCCAGGCAAACTGCTCAGATTCACGGGTGCATCACTGGCGCTGCTTCAGCGGTTTTCCCAGGAGATGCCAGTGCCCACTGAAGTGCCTTCGCCCACGTCACCTGCGGACGGATTGGAGGCGACACATGGCGGGCAAAAGGGCATGGGCCACTCTGGAAGAGTTCATTTGCCTAATTTTGGCCAACCAAAATCTCAAAAGTTACCGGTCACCACGGTGTCACCATGCACGTTCGCTGTTGAAGGAGTTGCGACAAAGCATCATCAAACATGCGAAGACTTGGGCTAAGCAGGATTTCCGACGTCGGCCTGTGGACAACATCATTCTTTGCAGGGACCATGATCCGTAGCTCCAGCGACATTCAGGATGCCCAAAGACGTAGTGTCAATTGTAACACCTTGCAACCAACAAGGATCAACACGGCAAATGAGATTCCCTTGTTTGCTTCTTTTGAGTGAGCATCATCCACTGGTTGGTTTTTGAGTGAGCACAGGGCACATTTACATCCAGCTTCGATGTACCGGTCGTGGAAGTCGCAGCGATCAGGGCTGACTTCCGACATGTAGCGATCAGGACACCCGATGAACTGGTCAGAAGTTATCCCTCCCACTGGGCGATACAGCACATGGGCATTTTTGTAGGTAA